GGGGGTCCTGGGGGCTTTGGGGAGCCTGGGGAGCCTGGCCGTGCTGCTGCTGCACAGCTACGCGTGAGATTTGGGGAGAATTTGGGGGGTCCTGGGGGGCTTTGGGGTGTCCCAGGTGCCCCCAACCCCAAACCCCCCCAGACCCAAAACCGCCCCAAGCTCCCCCAAGAACCCCGAAAATGGAGGAAATTGGGCAAATTCGGCCAAATTCAGCCCAAATTCAGCCCCACCCCCTCGGGGCCTTAATTAGCAACAAGCTGGTGTTAATTAGCAGCTATATGGCCTTAATTAGCACCGATTTGGCATTAATTAGCACCAATTTGGTGTTAATTAAACCCACTTATTTCCCCTGGAAACCCAGAACACTTAAATGTGAGCGTGCCCGGAAAAGTCCGGGGAAAGGGATTGGAAAGAGCTGAAAAATGGGGGAAAAAAGGGAGAAAAAATGCCCAGACTTGAGTTGTGGTCACTCCTGGTCACTCCGGGTGGTCACTCTGGTTCCTTGTGGTCACTCCTGGTCATTCTGGTCACTCTGGCTGGTCACTCTGGTCACTCTGGTCACTCCTGGTCACTCTGGGTGGTCACTGTGGTCACTCCTGGTCACTCTGGTCACTCCTGTGCAGCCCCAGGGGAGCTGTGGTCACTCAGGGGAGTCAGCCCCGCCCCTGCAGGGCTGATTGATTAATTGATTGATTGATTGATTGATTAATTGATCGACTGATTGTGTGATTGATTTATTGATTGGCTGATTGATTGATTGGATGATTAGCTGAATGATTGATTGATTGATTGGCTGATTGGCTGAATGATTGATTGATTGGCTGATTGGCTGAATAGTTGATCAGCTGAATGATTGGTTGGCTGATTGATTAGCTGATTGATAGATTGATGGATTGGCTGATTAATTGATTCAGTCAATCGACTGACAGCTCTGCAGCTCGGGTTGGGGGTCACACCAGGTCACACAGGTGACACAGGTGTGACACTCAGGTGTGTCCCCCGCAGGTGGCCGTGTCACGAGCAGCAGGTGGGGTTTGGGGTGCGGGTGTGACTCAGATGTGTCCCCAGGTGTTCCCCAGGTGTGACACAGGTGTGACACTCAGGTGTGACTCAGGTGTGGCTCAGGTGTGTCCCCTCCCAGGTGGCCGTGTCACGAGCAGCAG